AGGAAGTAAAGGCAGATCGAGTAATTTGCCCTTAGTTAACATGGCCACTGTGAGAAGAATGGGGAGGAAAAGAGAAATAAGGCATGCAAAGAATACAAAGTCTGCAATTATCTAGAAGTATTTGTTTGTAGATTGCCATTATTAAACATTTCTAAAAGTGTGTTTGTTGTTATTTTAAAGATATGGGTAAAGTTCCTCTTTAATTTGTATTGAGATTGTAGTCCATCAGGGGAGCAAGTTTGAAAAGGTGGCTACTTTATAACACACATAGGGAACCTTGGGGACACAAAAGTAGCCATCATCCAGAAGGAAGGACAGTGTCAGTATAAATTCAGAGATTATTTGAGGATCCACAGCTGAGTGATACACAAATAAGATACATTTTTGTTAATAGTTAGGGTACTTGAATGTATTTTTGACTCCTGAGTTTAGTGTCACTTTAAGTTATGTAAATTAATATAATATTATTATTTAGCTATTTTGATTTACAAAGTACAAAAACTATTTTTCATCAACGTAAATCATCCCTACTTTTTCCCTTTCCCAAATGTATTTCTTTATAAATTAGTACTCAATAAAACTGATATAAATTAATAAATGAGTAGCTCATAATGAAGGAATGATTAGCCTCCTTAGGACAAGATCTAATGAAAAAAGCAGATCAAAAAAAGAGGACACACCTACAGCCATACATCTCCATTAAATTAAGTTGTTACTCTCCTTCGATTTTATTGGCATCCAGAGAGATAACACCTATACATATACAATGCATAGAGTATTAAAAAGAATATAAAATGTATCTCATTGTTTCATACAATGGTAAAAATAAAAACATTTATGTACATAAATGAGAAAGTACATTCTTAACATTATATCGAAGCTCCACCTCTAGCCCCTCTTTTGGATATATACTTGAATTATTTTGCAAGATAATTTGAATGTAGGCAGATACATTTGCTCTACCTGTTTGGCAGGTGAAACATGCTTCTTTAGGAGCCTAAATGTTAATAAATGCTGTCCTGTAATATCAGTTATGCATAATGATAATATATTAATATACACATAATAACATGATTCCTATTGACAAGTTACCAAGTTATTTGTTATACTCCCTGCTCCTTCCCTCTCCCTCTACATTTACATACTGTACAACTATATGCTCAGTAGAGTTTGCAGGGGCTTTTTGCAGTGTTCAAAAAACTTTTTTGGCCCCTTAGAACTTTTGCATAGTACCTGCATGGCAGACTACTCTCTAAAGCAGGGGTAGCAAACCTCTGGCCCTCCAGCTGTGGTGGAACTACAAATCTCATGAGGCATTGCAAGATTCTCACAGCCACAGACATGACTCCCAAAGAGAGATGCATCATGGGATTTGTAGTTTCACCACAGCTGGAGGGCCGGAGGTTAGCTACCCATGCTCTAAAGGTTATGGTTTGGTACCTATTTTAGTACCTTTTCAATTATAACAACTACCATTGTATAAAATCGCACCCTATATTTTAGTACTTTAAAATACTTTGCAACTTAATCAAATAGCTAGGTGTTCCGTTAGTTTGCATTGAAGCTTTATTATGTGCTTGTACATGTCACTGCTTTATTATTTTCGAAAAGATGATGTCATATTTAGAAGTGAAGATGAGAGCTTTGCATAACAAAAGGTACAAGCGAAAGCAGAAACTAAGGATATTCAGTTTATTAAGTGCAGTTTTATGAAAGCAAATCTCAGTGCCATAGAGGTAAATTGCTATCCTTGACTGCAATATAATGACCCATGCAGCTTCTCTGCAGTGTAAACACATATTCTTAAACTAAAACTTCATCTACTCAGCATGAATGACTGCATTTTAAGTACATTTAAATCAAGCAAATGCTTAAAAAACTAACACAAAGCAAAATTACATCATACTGGCCTTGCTAAATTATTCTTTAAAACTATCAATTTAATTGGCATTTAAAACCATATTATATATATATTTTTTTACAAATTGAATTTTTAATTCCTATCACTTGTACATTTATTATCGAAAATAGATGCTTACTCTCAGATACCACTTTTTTCTCACCTTTAGTTTTTAAAATGTAGACATGAGTGCTTCAAGATAAATGGGTCTAATATTATGCCTCAGCGAGTATGCAGGTTCCTAGTGCTCTTTCCCACTAATAAAAGTAAAATATTTGACAATAATGAAAAATTAGATTATTTGCAGAGCATATCTTAACTTAGAATAAATCTGCAATGTATCCAGAAATGTTGTAAATCCTGTGTATCTATACAGGATATATACAGGATCTTAGGATATATTGTATACTAAATAAAACCAAGGCATGTACTGTATATTAAAACTCCAGTTTTACTAAAAACATATGTACATAAAAATATTTTAGTAATCCATAATTGTATCTGGTCTAAAGAAACTGATGTTTTCCTTATAACAGACTAAGTTCACAAAGTTTTAACAAAGAATATAATTTTCACCATGTGACTGTCATTTCCAAAACTGTTACTTTAAAAATAAATAAATAAAGATCTTAATCCTGAAATGTTAGGTTTCTGAATTGAGCCTAAAGTCCTACACTATCACTACCTGTTTTGTGCAATGCAATCATAGGAAATAAGCACTATCTGCATCACTTTAGCCATAGACAGTCTTAGAAAACATGTTGGCAAAAAATAAAACTCCATGGGGGTTATTTATAAAAAGTGGAACAGGGAGAATCTGGAGCAGTTGTCAATGACAACCAATCAGCTTCTCCATTTCAATTTCAAACCTTAACAAACTAAAGAGAGAACCTAAACGGCAGGCATGGAAAACGTCTCCAGATTCTGTCTGCTTCAATTTTTATGAATTCCCCCATATCAGGAAATCTGTAGCAGGTTGTTTGTGATCTGATGGGACCAGATATGTAAACTGCACACAGGAATACACCATGATTTAAGTGAAAACAAGCTAACTAAGTGCCTAATTAACTGAGCTCCTGGTTCACCATGCACACAGGTTCGGACTGAATTCTGCTTGTTCAGAGGTCCACAGAATGGTCAAACTAAATGGGTGTTTGGCTGAGCCATACCTCCATCTGCAGGGAAGTAAAGCATTTTGCCAGCAGTATTACTACTACTACTAAATGTGACAGTTTTCCTTCAGGCTGGCTCTTAGGGAGCCAGGGGATGGTGGGTATATTCTTTCAATGGTGAGCTTGTGTCATTCAGTGTGATTAACGAGGATCGGCATCACTGGACAATGTGATTGATTAAGGATGTGCAGCGTGGGACTTTTTTTGTGTTTTTTTAAAATAAAGAACCAAAACGAGTGTGGTTATGTACACTTCTATTTTTTGTGAACAAGTAGGGGTGCTAAGTACTCCTTACTCATTCACATAGGTGGGCAGCATCCTGGGGCCTCCTATAGTTTCTAATAAGTCCCCCAACTGCAGACCTCCTTAGCCTCCAGACTATTGTTGTGGAGTAGAGGCCCTTGTCCTCATCAACATCAGAACAAGGTTCTTTGCCAGGGGGATCCCCTGTAGCAAGGTACCTTCTCATGTTAGAGGCATGTGTGGTTAGGTTGGGAGGGGGTTGCACACTTGCCCCACGTTTCCCTGGGTTGCCAGGCTGCATGCTCAGCAAAGGGTTTAGTAATGGCTTTTGGGAGACCCCATGTCATTTTTGTAACGGGGTTCCTTTTAAAATCCACACTAGACCTTAAACACCTGGTATGAACCTTGTGGGGGACCCATGTGTTTTTTTGTTTGTTTATTGCGAGGGGTTCCTCTTAAATTTCATGCCAGACCCAAAGGACCTAGTATGGAATTCAAGGAGGACCCTACTTTTTTTCTTTTGGAGGTCCCCCTTAACGTCTATAGCTGATCCTCATCTAGGATAAGGGTCTGCTATGGATAAATGGAAACCCCAGTCTTATTGAAAGGCTTCATTTGTTTTTGTTTTTATGAGAATTGTTTCTGGTGCCCAGCCGTGGTGCCAACTAATTTGTCACTAATTTGTTCACTTAAAAACCTATTTTTACATAAATTAATTTACCCTTAAGCTGGCCATACATCTTTAGATTTCTCTCATTCAGTCCTGCAGGCTGAATAAGAAAAATCAGTCGATTTCCCTATCCACACTAAACACTGTGGATGAAGAAGCCTTCCCTGTAAATATTGTGTTCAGCGGCTGATGTGACTCGTGGCTACTGAATACTTGAACAGTGACTGCATCTGATTGGATCTAGTCTCTGTTCAGTCAAAAGATTTCTATTCAGCTCCACTAAGAGAGGCTGACTGAAAAATTTACTTTTCTGGAGCTGGATGTTGCACTCTTGCTCACATTTTTGCTGAAACAGCAGGGATTGGCCACAATGTAAGCCATGTGTGGCCAGCTTTAATCTATGCATAATCCCTAACCATAAATTTAAGAATCCCACCTAAGAAAAACTGGTAACCTCTTCTTAATCTTTGAACCTGTTCCTTAACCTAAACTTAACCTCCCCAACTAGATTGTAAGCCCTCAGGGGCAGGGTCTTCCTTACCATCTTGTCTTGAACTGTATTGTGATTGTAACGACTTCCTTATATTGTAAAGCGCTGCGCAAACTCTTGGCGCTATACAAATCCTGTATAATAATAATAAACCTCAACCTGACTCCCAATCCAAACACTTCAACTGGCCCCTATGTAAAAGAGTCCTCAAAATTATTTGTGAATGGTCATCTCATCATATTCTTCTTTAGAACAGCAAGTCAAAATAATTTCCTAATTTGAGGGAATTGAGGTGGGTTGAATACAGTAGAAACAGCTATACAGGTAGCAGTTTAGAAATTATATCTGTTAGATCTTGGTGCAAAAGCTCCAGAAGTTAGTAAACAGCGGCCTCTTATACATTTTCAGTTTTTAGTATATTGTTTCATTTGACTTTACTTGCGTTTACACTATGTTTTTGATTTTTGTTTGTCAATCTTTAATGAGCCAATCCATTTATTTTACTTTCTCTTTTTACTGTCGTAGGTAGTGTCCCATTCACTTGGTGGGTTGGTCGCACTAACCAGTTACATACCTATTGGAGTGGTTCATCAGTAGATGCTACAAAATGTTCATGTGGACTTGAAGGAAACTGTATTGATGCTCAACATAACTGCAACTGTGATGCTGACAGGAATGAATGGTAATATCATTTTCACAGCGTGTAAATATATGAGTGTGATAAATCATTTCAACATGGTTTGCATCAGGAACATAATTTTAGTATCCTAATAAATGAGACAAGTTTACGATTAAACATTTTTTTTTATCTACCAACACTTTTTTTTAAACTAACATGTCTAAATTGAAAAAACATTGTTTCTGTTCTACTTCCTTTTCCTTTAACCACTTGAAGACCATGTGTTTACACCCCCTTCCATTCCAGCCCATTTTTCAGTATAGCGCTGCAGTACTTTGACTGACATTTATTCCGTCATGCAACGCTGTACTGAAATGAATTTTTATACAATTTTTTGGGAACAGATAGATCTTTCGTTTGGTGGTATTTATTATATTAAGGGAAAATTACTGAAATTTCAAAAACAATTAGGCTATAATACAATTATTATTACACAATTTTTTGGTAAAATATAAAAGACGAGCTCACGTCAGCTACATGGACATCAAACATGTCAAGCTTTAAAATTGAGCGCACACGCAAAATCGCAAATAACTACCATACCCATAATTGACCATCGGCAACGTTTAGTGTTATCAGTGATTAATGGCCCTAGAATTATTGATCTCACTGTGACGTTCACGGCGATATGCTGGAGAGTGACACAAGAATGCGGAAGTGATGTAATATGCATCACTTCCGCATTTTGACATCGGAGAGGGGACCAGAGGGAGATCATGTACCGATATCCCTCTGATCCCCTTTCACAGAGCCACCATGCTGGTCCCGGGCTCACACCGGGCACAGCAGAGCCCGGGACCAGTGGGAGGTGGGGGGCGCATGGACCAGCACCTTATACAAGCGATCCCCCGGCTCTATAGCCGGCGGATCTCTTGTATGTAAACAGGCATCGATGCCTGCTTTTCAATTTGGACAGGTTCCCGCTCGCACACAAGTGGGAGTGGCTGATGGAACATTTAAATAGACCTGCTCAGATCTAGGAAGCTCCCGGCCGGCCGTTGTACAAGTAGGATGTTAGGGAAGGATGTTAAAATATACAGAATATAAAATGATTCTTGAAAGATAAGACCACCAAACACAAACCTTGTTTGTTCCATGCCCATCCCCCAAAAAATACATATTACTCCAATATCATGGTCGATGACAAGGTGATTAGTAAATCAATAAAATCATAACTAAGTTGTCAAAAATGCTGTTGTGTAAAAGGGGTAAACAGCTACTAGAGCTCAAGTGGTTAATGTGTATTTAGCAGTTTGACTGGAGTTTTGCATCAACATAGATATGTTTAGCCGTGATACAATATATATCTGCTCCATGGCTTAACCAAGTATTGCATTCAAATATTTTTCAGGACCAATGACACTGGATCACTTTCTAATAAAGATCACTTACCAGTTACACAGATTGTTTTAACTGACACAAACAGACCACATTCGGAAGCTGCTTATAAACTTGGTCCTTTGCTTTGCTGGGGAGATAGTAAGTATATTCCCATGTGCATTATGTGTATCTATATATTTTGATGTACATGAAAGAAAATGTGAATGTAAAGTCTACAGTAACATTTTATAGCATACGTGAATGTAAAGCTGAAACATTTTTTTAGTTTTGGATACAGCAGAGCATGGTTGAAACCCTTGCCTTTTGCTCGGTCTCCCATTGTAGAGCTTTCCCTTTACTTCCTGTTCCAGAGACAGAAGAGGAAATCTCTTGTGGTCACAAGGATAAAAAGAGTGGATGAATTTTCCTAGTTGGGAGACATACATCAATAAAAACCTAACACTCCCATTCTCTATCCAAATATCTAACACAAATTTCTCATGCACTTTTGGTTGGAGATTAGGTTTACTGAGTCAGCATACAATTAATTATTTACTAAATGACTAAATGCATTTTCTCTTAAAGTGTTCTTAATTAAAAGAGAACTATGATGTGAGTAAAAATCGCTCAACCCAGGGTCGGCCTTAGGCCTTTAGGCGCCCTGTGCGAGAAAGCTTTACAGCGCCCCTCAGTGACCACACCCCTCAGTGGCCACACCCTTTAGTGGCCACACCCCCAGCAACCACACCCATTTATCACCCATATTTTTGGTAAAATATAAAAAGACGGGGTCACGTCGGGTAAATAGACACAAAACATGTCATGCTTTAAAAAGGCAACAGCAATTTTCAGCCAAAGAGACGGCAAATAACTCATTGGGAGATGATTTTTTGATTTACAAACGTGATCAAAAGTAATTCCAAATTCAAAAGCCACTTTACTGATTGTGCCTTGCGTAAGAATATGTGTGAAAAATCATTTAAAGGAGAACTATGAGGTGAGTGCTTTTCACTCACCTCATAGTTCTAGCCGACCTGTGACAATGAGACTGTCACAGGTCGGCTCAGTAGATCGGGAGGGGAGCGAACACATACCGGCGTTCGCTCACCTCTCGATCAGAGAGCCGTGACAGGAGAGGGGCTGGATTCCCCCCTCCCCGCTCCGATCCACCAGCGCTGACTGGAGGGGGCGGGTACAGCTGGCTCTGCCTCTAGATAGGAAAAGTCAGCTGTCAGTCATGCAGCTGGGCGGATCCCGGCACAATTGTCGGGATACGCTTCAGCTGCGGCGTCCCAGTATCCTGCGGCGTCTCAGTATACCGCGAGCTACAGCTCGCGGTATACTGAGCCTAAGGTGACGGGAGGACGCTAGTTTGTGTCCTCCCGTTACCCTAAGGAGAACTATGGGGAAAAACCTTAACCCCATAGTTCTCCTTTAACGTATTAAGAAAGGAGAAATATGCTTTGAAACTGGATTTTTACATCCATGTAAAAATTGATGCAATTACAAAATCATATTGTACAATGTCTGTTCACTTTGTAGAAATGTATATTATAATAAATATTATTTTTTTCTTAATTCAGGGCAATAATTACAGTACATAACATACATAACCAGTTTGTGGCAGGGGATGTGGAAGACACAGAACACACACAGAGACCAAGAGTGGTTTTTAGGACCCTTAACCAGAGGGTTCTTTATTAGGGGTTCTCAACATTAGGATACGGCCAGTGTAGGAGCAATGCGGGCACAACAAAAGCAAGGGATAGCAAGGGTAAAGTCCAGGGGCATAGGGCAGCAATCCAGACGGAGTCCAAAGACACAGGGCAGCAGTCCAGGCACAGCAATGGTGTAACAGCAGCAGGACACAGCACAGTTGGAGTCAATGGACACAGGGCAGCAATCCAGACAGAGTCCAAGGACACAGGGCAGCAGTCCAGGCACAGCAAAGGGGTAACAGCAGCAGGGCACAGCACAGTTGGAGCCCAGGGACACAGGACAGCAATCCAGACAGATTCCAAGGACACAGGGCAGCAGTCCAGGCACAGCAAAGGGATAACAGCAGCAGGCACAGCAAAAGAGGGCCACAACTCACACTTAAGGCATCAGGTCACTCCGCAGAAGAGGGATCCACATGGGATGGTAAGGCAGGAGGCTGTCTGTAGAGCTGGTCTGTGGTGCCTCTTCAGTGTTCAAGCAGGACAACAGTTCACAGCTAGTAAGGCACTACAAGTCCCAGTAATCCCTAATCAGGGAACACACATTCAGAGCTAGATGTCCCAGCAGCCCTCATCTTCTAGTCTCTTTCCAATGAGACCCTGCAGCCATGAGTATCTCATGTCTAAGGCTGGGCACACACCTTACAACCATCGCAAAACTTTTGTCTTGCGATGGTTGTAAGGTACTTAAAAAAACGTACGATCTGCCTATGTTGCATAGGCAGATCGTACTTGCGATGATCGCAAGCCATGCCCCCTGAGGGGCGGGCTCCCGATGACCGCAATGCAGAACGGGCAGTGTGCGCTTGCGCACATCGGTCCGTACGGCTGTTATCGTACGGACATGCCACAAACCCGCCGAACATCGTACGATGCCCGGCGGGTTTTCGAACTTGTCCGTAAGTTTAAAGTCGTGCGACCTTACAGTAGTAGCAGTAGCAGTAGCATCGTACGATGTTCGGCGGGTGTGTAGCATGTTCGTAAGATAAAAGCCGGACGGGCCGGTGTGCGCAAGCGCACACTGCCCGTTCGGCATTGCCGTCATAGGAAGCCCGCCCCTCAGGGGGCGCAGCTTGCGATCATCGCAAGTACGATCTGTCTGTCCAAGATAGGCAGATCGTACGTTTTCTTAATTACCTTACAACCATCGCAAGACAAAAGTCTTGCGATGGTTGTAAGGTGTGTGCCCAGCATAACTCTGATATACTGCAGCATTACAGCTACATTAGTCCCTGTCACAGTAGAGTTCAGAAGCAAATAACCTTGAAGATCTCTGTCCTTTTGTGTAGACACAAGCATATGAGCATATATGTGTTTGGACTTAGCATAAACTTTTACAATCAATGGAAGAACATACTCAGCATAATTCAGTTCACAGATACATATATTATTCATGTTGGCAAGTGGGGATGAGCTTCTGGTTTGGGCTGACCAATACTTCACAGTTTAAGAAAATGGTGAATTAATGTGGCCAAATGCCAATATAGCAACCAATTACCAATCATCCACTAGCCTTGAACTGTGGTCAGGTGGCTTAGAAGGGCCAGTAACGTTTGCTTATATGCCAGCTCCTCCCAATAAAAGCCAGGGTTCCCAGCAGCCTTTTGTCAGTGTGTGTGTAGAGAGAAACTTGGGACAGCCGACAGAGTAATTTTTTGCAGGGAGATATAGTTGCTGTTTTACAGTGCTGCTAACCTGTGCTATATGTAGTATCTTACATTGTGCTACATTGTACTGCATTATTACAGATCATTGCAGTGTGGTGGGTTACATGGTCTGTACTTAACCAATTGAATAAAAAAACTAAATAATAGTGGAGCCTAAATATCATCTATTTGTGGGAATAAACCAGTGTTTCCAACTAACAAGATCAATAGTAGAAAGAAAGAAAAGAAAAGAAAGGAAACACTGGAAACAATAAATTCCCTCTATTGAAGCAATAGACACCATAAACAGAGTACCGCCATAAACATATCATGGTGTAACATTAAAATAATTGATAAACCACCAAACACTACACACTCCTGTATACATCAGTCACACCTAGCAGGGTACCGACACCAGAAAATGACATCTCTAATTGTCAAGCTGGCTTACTCCATGGAGTGTATTCTCAGTTGGGTGCATCAACTGGCGACTTGTCAGAATCACTGGTCCACCCCAACGACTCAGACAAAACATTGGAAAGATACTTTGCAGATGGTATACCTGTTGCATCCAGGTTTACACTGTCCCAGTGATTCTGTCAGCTCTTCAGGAGCAGGCTGAAACCATGCCATTTTGTGCCAGGCAAGTTTGTGTGTAACAATGGAACCAAACTGCTGTCCTTTAGCAGGAAAAGTTCACACGTGCCTTTCCTGGCACACATTCTAAACCTGATGGTGCAGTTGTTCCTAGTTTGGTACCCTGGCTGACCAGAAGAGCAACTTTAGGTGGTAATACCTAGCAAGTGTTTACCCAGTCAAGGTGCAGCAGCAACACAACTGTCTGCCAGCGGCCTGATATGCAATACGCCCAATTTCTGGAACTTGATGTTGGCTATTCTGCAGCTGCTGCACATGCAGCAGTAGGCCCTCAACAAGTAATTATGTGAGTAAGGGATAAGGCTCTGGGAATGTAGGCTTCTTTTCACCAAGTCAGTGGCCCTTGAACTCAATGTAGACCCAAACCCAAAGCTTATTTCTCTTCATTACAACCAGATTTTGTCTATGTCTATTTTTACTGGGAGATGTAGTTGGACATACGTATTGCATATTGTCACAGTGTTTACTTTACATGGTAAGCAGCTGATTACAGTTTCTGTTAAAAGGAAAACCTGTGAGGAGGGAAATATGGATGCAGGTTTGCTAACACATATGCTCATCATAAACAAGCACAGGTACAGGAAGATGCTGGCTTTTCAGCTGAGTTCACTGGAACAAGCATGCAGTCACATTTAAAGGAATTCAACTACTGTCCTAATACTTGATCCAGATCAGTTGCTCACTTGGTGGTAAAGAAAGCAACATGATGATTGATGCATAAACTTTAAATGAAAAATCCAACCTATGCATCCTCATAGGTTCACTTTCAATATATGATAAATCAAAGCCATTTTCTTTCTTGGGATGAAAGTCTTTTTTGGCTGACTATTTCATCATTTTTTGGATGAGTTCCACCTTGAATGGTTTAAAGAGATACTGAGGGGGGATGGGGGAAAACTTCTGCAGTCTCCCAAACCTTTCTGTTGTGGAAAAATCTCAGGCTTTCCTGACAAGTAAAGCTTTGGGATTTCCTGATGTGCAAAAATTGGTCTGCCTCTTCTTGCCTCAATCACATTCCTATTGGCCTGTGAGTCTGCCCATCATAACAATCGATAGATACCATTGTATGGAGACAGGACTTAGGGGCAAGATCTGACACTACCCTGAAATGTAGAAGATGTGCTTGTCCGACTTGACATAAGGCCATGACCGCAAGGTTTAGGAGGCTGCGGTAGGTATGTGGTCCGTCCCCTTTCCCTCATTGGCAGAGTCTCTTTAAATTAATATTTTTGGAATGTGTACCTGAATGTCCATTCTGACTAGTGGAAGAAATTAATGTATAGAAATTGCATGCAGAATTTTTAGGCACCCACAATGAGACATACTATTATATAATACAACATGTTATTTATTCAACATGTACACACATTAAAATCACATGAGATAATGACTGTGGCTCATATATATATATCTATATAAATATATATATACAGTATATATGCAACTATCCTAGGCCATCCAGATCCGAATATCTGTTTATACCACGCTTGTAGGTATGCATTGCGTTTCATGGAAGAAGCAGATATCCTGGATGTAGTGTACTCTATGCATTTTGCAAAGATAATTCCACTTCCTCAGGATGTTTGGTACAATGTTTATGTTGAACACAAGTCACTTTTTTACAAATGTTCTGTTAAAACCAAGCAGTCATATCTTGGGCCATCAAGGACAATGCACCACCCAGTCAATCAACATCTTATAGGGACCCGACTGAGAGTCTTTGCAGGCAAACCCCTCATTTGGTTTATGATAGAGCAGGAGAGTCTGATTGTTGGTGATATAGTAGGTATGACGTGCAGAGGGAGAACCCACCTCCCCCCACACCATGAAGACATCAAAGATGCATAATCAAATTAGATGTGATCAGCACAGAGACATTTTACATAAAACGATATGCAATCATATACTTTTCTGTAAACATGCAGCATACATGGTGAAAATGCAGTCCTTTGTTTACTTGAAAGGAAGGATTTCACAATCACAATGCTATACATCAGGCATGGACTCCTACTGTGGCTGCTGTCCACGCTAAAAAGGTTCTGATCAAAAGTGGTTTCAGAAGGCTGAGTCACGCACATGAAATGCCCATAATGTAACATCATTATTACTTGATGAAAGCAATGTATGATGGGATATGTAGTCTTGAAAAATCAAGACTGTATCACATTAAGCAGCAGGTTAAGAGACACAAGGCGCACTGGGAATCCAGCTGGTGGAAGGCATCACTCACTACAGAAAACATATTTTTGTAACTTTTGATACCATTATCAAAAACAACTATAGTACAGTATGTCTTTCTATTACAATGATGATGTTATAACAGGATAGCATATGCTGTGACTCTAGAACCTCTTTAAGAAACCGTGTCACTAAATACCTTCCATTAAACACATTTCCAAACTACACAACAGGTTTTTCAGACACTATGTTGGTATCCATAATGTTTTCAAGCTTGATCCAGTCAGATATTTTTACCTTTTCTGCCTAGGAAGTTTTTGGAATGCAGCTTCTTTTAATACAGTATCATCCTACCTACATTTCCCTACCTTCGATGGAGAACTCAGTGCAGATGTATCTTTCTTCTTCAAAACTGCATCACCATCTGGACTATTCTTAGAAAACCTGGGAATCAAGGATTTTATTCGCATTGAATTGGAATGTAAGTCTTTTTTTAAATATATTAATTTATAACAAACAGTATAACAGTACAACGAATTAACCTCGGTAAACATTACAATAATAAGAAAGCAAGAATGTAGGAACTGAACAGAAGAACATTGCTACTTATTACAGATATGTTACCCTTATTTTAAAAAAGTCCATAATATAAGACTATAACCAGCTAAGATGGTCTCATGGCTATTTTGGAAATGAAATGGTAATACGATTCCATTATTACTACATTAAGCTGTGCAAGTATTGCTAAAACAGTACTGATTTTTTTAGTTGCTGTTATACTAAAAAGCTGAGATTAAGGCAAGGCAGCCGAAGGCAGCCGAATGAATAACCGAGGCTATTCACTGCCGCCATGTATAGTTATTTTTAGCCATACATTGGCTGCATTCGGCTCCCTTCACCTCACTTTGGCTCAGCTGGAGCAACATCTGGACCGGCTGAAGCAAAAATTCAGCAGTTCATTCACTGCTGTTCACCCCTGTTCCAAGGGGTGAAACATCAGAGATGGAATAACTCATGGTTAGCCAAACTCCGGCCCTTCAGCTGTGGTGAATCTACAAATCCCATGATGCATCTCTCTACGGGAGTAAGGTCTGTGAGAATCTTGCAATGCCTCATGGGATTTGTAGTTCCACCACAGATGGAGGGCCGGAGTTTGGCTACCCCTGGAATAGCTAAGCAGTCGGCTCATGTTTTGGTTTGGTCATTCTGTTCACTAAATCAAAAGTAGTGAAGCAGAATGATTGTAAGCAAAAAAACAGCTTTTAGTCCCCTCCTCAAATCATACCAGGCCCTTTAGGTCTGTAATATGTAATATGCACTTGGCACAATGCTGTGGTGTGAATGGGCCCTAACAACGAGATCTCTTTGCCCTAGCTCTGGACTCTGTTCCTGTCTACCAGGGAGTTTTGGAATTAAGTTGGAACCCCTCATAATGGCCACATAAGGTGTGCAGTCTTAGTAACTAAAGTGCAGAGATCTTGAAAGCAGATATTATAGGGGTATATATTAAAATTCAAGTCAGACAGCAAAAGGTAGGATCATAGGTGAGAAAGTACCATGGTGATGGTATTGTACAGTATATACTGAAGAACATCTGTTCCTGTTTAGTTCATAGCAGGTTGTTCCTTTTTTGCATGGCATTTTTTATTTTACTTAAGGAAAATATAAATTATAATAATAAGGTAATAATAAATCTGTATTTTTTGTGACCTTTTTCAAGCTCCAACAGATGTGATTTTTTCATTTGATGTTGGGAATGGCCCCCTAGAGGTCAGAGTACAATCACCAACTCATTTGAATGACAGCCAGTGGCATTTTGTAAAGGTGGAGAGAAACATTAAAGAAGCTTCTCTACAAGTGGACAATTTGCCACAAAAAACATATACTACTTCTTGTGATGGTCACATACGGCTGCAGCTTTACAGTCAGCTTTTTATTGGTAAGTAGTAAATATTAACAGCCCATTTACACAAGCGTGATGACAGATCAAAATTTCATTTATAAAATAATAACTGACTTTATTCTGTTTAATATTATATCAGTTGAACTTATCTTGAATTGGTTTCACATAACAGAGTTGTTTTAAAGTTGATTGTTGACTAGTTGACTAGTTTTGAAATGAAACTCAAACAGTGTCTCCAGTAATAAAGACGGTGGGTCCAGGGATATAATCTAAATATGTATAAGGTGGCAAAGGGTTTTATCCTTTTCATTGCTATCAGTGTTCCCATTGGAGAGATTTCCCCAACTTCCTGTCACTGACACCAGGAGAAGTAATTAAGGTAAATGGTATCACTGGGACTAGTAGCACAAATGGCCTGCCCTTACTAAAAAAAAGTGTTTTTGTTGTCTCTTTCTTATCACTTTCCAACCCTATGATATCCAGCCATCGGAACAGCAAGTGAAGGGAATACCTCTCCAGGTGATTCAGGCAGCAATATAAGCCTTCTCTCTTTCGATAAAGTTAATTTACAATAATACTTTGGATCCTACCATTTGGACCGCATGACACTGTTGCATTTTTTAACCTGCTGTCCAATGTCATTTAGCTGGGAATAAAGTTTCTACGATGTTGGCTTCAGGAGTTGGCTTAGGTTGGACTTGATGGACTAATGTCTTTATTCAACCTCAAATACTATGTAACTAGGAGTCAATGGATTTCAAGAGTTGTATACATGACAGTATCGTTACAGCATTTTGTTACCATATTGTTGGTAATGTTGTAACCAATATGTAACCATATTGTTGGTAATGTTTTATGCTTAGAAACCACACCATATACATACTAATGATATGTAGTGTCCTGCAGGCTTAGTTACATAAAATAGCTACATGAAGCTAGGGTGTTACATTATCATAATACGCTAACAAACAAAATTAATTCGTTTTGAAAATGTTTTTTTTTATTTAAGGCAAATTATTTGATAAACAATATAGAATGATTTAACAATATGCTCTATGCTTTAGTTTTGTAGACTTCTACAGCTATTTAAAAAGTAACTCTGAATTTGAAGTGATTATTAACTCAGACGTAATAGAATCAATTTATCATGGACGGTTAACTGACCTTGAATGCCTCCTTTTTTTTGGATTTTGACTTCCTCTATTTATCAAAAAGGAGAAATTGATTTATTGGAATAATAGTCATTATAAGACAAGCATTTCCATGAATTATCTTGAAAATTAATTGTTTCTAGTTAAATGAAGCAGTGCTATTTTTGGAGAATTATGCTGCCATAAACAAAGCGTAAACCTTTTATTCTAATAGTTTCAAAGTATATTTTTTTGCCACATCAGAAATATACAGCTCTTCAGATTTTTCAAATGTATATGTTATTTTCGAATGAATATGTTCGAATGATCCATTTGATGATTCTTTCAAGTTAAATATTGTTTGAGATGCTTCTGGTATCATTTAGAGTTTGACAGGTGCAATGGACCTACATTTGACCTCCTCGAGACCCACATTTCATCTCCTTCTAAGCTGTGTCAACCTGCTTCAAGCTATATTTTCATTCCTATTGGCTTGCATTTGGAGAGAAGCAATTCTGATGCAAACAAAAGGCCATCAACACAGGTTATTTGATCACCCTAGAGATTCTGCCACTGATGAAAAGTTTTCCTTTCTCCTATGACATCCCTCCTTCACTGCCTGAACCAATGAAAGGGTTCCACTCATAAAATATTAACATCAGCAGATATGCTGGCATGAAATGGAAATCAGAGAATGCTCATTTCCTTTTGTACCGGTGGTAACAGTCTGCTGGGAATCATAATATGGAAGATGCCTTAAAGTGTATCTATATCCCATATTTTTGGGATGCAGTGGAGAAAGTTAGAAACCCTGTGTGCAGATGCCACCATTTACATGCTCAAATTCTGGTCTTGATGTGCATGAGTCTAATTTAGATGCTGAAAACTATTTGATTCTGCCACCATCATTCATCTTACTGAGACATATTTTGTAGTCGAAATGCAGCTGCGGTTAAGAATTGATAAGGTTTTTTTTATAATGCATCCATTGAAGTCTGACATTATATTTTATCAAATTTCACAGGTTTTTTATGTTTGAAAAAGCAGCGACAAAGTGGTAAAATTGGTAGAAAGCTGCTAAAACAAAAATAATTAAATGTTAAAGGTAAAAACAAATGAAACTACGTGAAATCCTGTAAGAACATGTATATTTCAGTGATAGTGACAATGGCATTTATAAAGAACAGTGAGGTACTTAAGAATATGAATAACTTTGGTCTTAGATATGTAAGTAAAATAATTGAATAACATTTACTCTTCTGCTGCGACCATTAAGTAGAGAATTGATTGCTGGATTTTCTTTGTTTTATATTAGGGACATTGTTGCAAGAGGAATTAGTTGGCAGTGGTTCTTATTATGAATAATAATTTTTTCCACTGAAGTCCCCAAGAAATGTAGGAATACCTTAAAGCTTAAAGGGTTAATAAACCCTCAGCGGTTTTTGCATATATCTACTGCTAGCAGGCAGTAGATATATGCAAAAACTTTTTTTGGGAAACCCTTTCAAACAGGTTTAAACTTACCTGTTTCTTCGCCGCACGCTCCCGTCCAAACATCTGAAGAGTCTCGGGCGGCCGCAAAGGATCTTGGGGCATGCGCACTTCACATGTTTGGCTGGGAGATGAGGAGAGACACAAGGTAAGTCTATGGAGCAGCGTGCACCCGCACAGACTCAGTGGGACATCAGAGAAAAGAAGGACAGAGGAGTCAGCACTGGATCGGAGACCCGCAGACCAGTGAAAACTACACTAAAGAAGATAATTATCGGATTAAGAGACATGATTTAAGGTAAGTCCTTACTCTAACATTGGGTGGGGGGAAAAAAATTAGCCTTTAATGTCACTTTAAATACAGTATCCATGTTGGTTGGACCAACCCTTTACGTGTGTCTAAACCCAAACATGGAAATAATTGTGTTGTTGCACATGTTCCCATATTATCAACACATTTTATTCTTATGTTTTAGTTGAATCATATCAGCAAGGTGTACCCACATGCACTTCCTTTAGTAGAGTAAAAATGCTTACTAACTTCACTCTTTATTGCACTCTTCTGCTTTGGACAAAAAATTGTTGTACCAGCACACAGTGTGCTGTCATGGTCTGCTAGTGCACAACATTCACAGAAAGATCAATACAGTAGTAGAGAATTGTACCATGTTAGCCACTAATTAATTAACCTTTATAGATTCACAATTAACAGCAAGAAAAGAGATGTTCCCTTAGCGGAACATCTTGCAGCAAAGACCTCGGCATGAATGATCTCGATTACAGCACTGATAGGGAACTTATGATATCTGACAATAATGCCTGTTTTTTTCCTCAAGCCGGTGATCAAAGATATACGGACATTTCGAGAGGAATCTTATCCTCACTGTGGTGACAAGTTTATCTGAATGTCTTCAAGTCAGTTAGCCAAATAACATTTTCATAGATCTATCCTAACTATTTTTTAAATAACCATAACTATCCATGTGTTTCACGGAAAAAAAGCTGCATTTTATTATTGGCTTCTCTGGTAAATGGACATTTCAAAGGCACGCTCATTTGAAATGAGGATTGTGACTGGATTTTTCATATTTGAGTCAATTACCTCAATAACACTTCTAAATTGATCTCTACAGTCTAACCCTTTATAACAGCCTTTGCCACCCAAGTGTGTCAAGAAAAACAGTTTTTTTATTTTTATATTTCATTGCTCCTCTTGTACAAAAGAAACTGGCCGGTCAAACACGGCATTCTATTCTATTCTATTCGATACCACACACAATATGGAAGTGCAGGCTATCTGAATGCCATGTTTGACCGGCCGGTTTCTTCGTTTTTAACTGTGAGTTTTTACTTGTTTTTTAAATAAATGTTTATACCTACGACACCATGAGGAGTTTCGTTTTGTAATTTCCGCTATCCACTGACCAATGGGATATTGCTGGGACGGATGCTGGGATCACGTATCCATTGATCAACTTCTTATTGTTTACATACAATACTAGTGTGGTGATTGCGCACCCCAAAGGGGCGGTTGACATGGACACAAACAAACGGTGTGGAAAAAGATTTTCAAGCACTTTTGCACTATGTTGCACAGATTGGACTTAATACTAGAAATATTTCACTAAACAATATCAATATCACTTTGAACTTGACCCATCCACATATGGAATATATCCTTCTATCGCATGTATTTATTGAATCAAGGTTTTTAATTATTTGTCACTTATATTTATGTACACTAATTTTTATATATGATTTGATTATAATTTATTGCACATTAGCACTTTTGCAGATATTGCACCCCTATAATCATTTATATTTTAGCTGCTACTGAGGTAGTGACTCACAGGTCACTCATATTTGCATCACGCATGAGAGACTAATATAATATTCACGCACGATAATTAAAGAGAGCCCTAATATAACATCAAAGTAGGTTCATCTAAACTATCACTGATCCTTAGTGCTGCAGACTCAATATTTATAATAATGTGATCCTGTTTTACTAACAGTGCATTGAGCTACAGAAGTATCATTTTGTAAATGTTAAATTCTATTTTAAACAGAAGTTTCATTGTAAGTGTAATTTGCAATGATGGATAAACTGATTCCACTATCATTGATAATAAATAACTTGGGCCACTTGTGATATAGTGAGATGAAACCCCCAAAACAGACATGTACCAAACCTCTAAATGTAGTATATGACAGTCATTCTAGTCTTGATAAACCTCAAATTATAGGGCATTAACAATATTTCTTCTACACAAATGCTTTTTTTATTAAACAGATTATACTTTTCATATTATGTTATTTGTGGATATCAGAAAAGAAGCATCCACATATGCAATTTTTAAAATTTAAATTAACTATGGAAAAGGTTTTTCAGGTAGAATTACCTTGTTTAGCACT